TGATGAGGACGGGGCAGGCCAGCTGTGTGTATGATGAGGACGGGGCAGGCCAGCTGTGTGTATGATGAGGACGGGGCAGGCCAGCTGTGTGTATGATGAGGACGGGGCAGGCCAGTTGTGTGTATTTTGAGGACGGGGCAGGCCAGCTGTGTGTATGATGAGGACGGGGCAGGCCAGCTGTGTGTATACCATCTCCCCCCCCCCCTCCCACACACATGGACCCACAACACAAATAGCTCCAACTACCATCGTCCAGCCAAGCCAAGGTTTCCAGGGTTGGGACACGTACAAATAGATGGCGTTGATTGGCCATATAAGGTCCTTTGATGGTCGCTGATTGGCTTGGCGCCTCCCAAACAGCCCCAAGGGTCATTATGTTCGAGATTTGTGCCCAACATTGAACACAAAGGAAAGAACGAGGAGAGAGAGAGAGGCCAACAGGGGGGGACTCAATTGGTCCAGGAAAAACATGTAGAGTTTTTCACTGCATTAGTTTTACATTGAATTATTTTTGTTTGTTTTTTCCAGCCTTACAGCGGGGCTACAGTGTTCTCCCAGACGACTGTCTGTGTTACAGTCTCTCTGTGTCTCATTATCTCACTGAGAGGCAGTTCCTGTCTGTCTGTCTGTCTGTCTGTCTGTCTGTCTGCATGTTTCTGTTTCTGTATGTACTTAGTTGCGACTGTACATTGTCAGTTAGTGCTCATAGACTGGCCACTGATTGGTGTCACAGTTCAGCAGTCACAACATCACACCCTCGGGTCGTCACTAGCCTGTAATCATCTGTAACCCCGCCACATTAAACAACTGCTCAACCCTGTACTGGGTGACACTGCACAGGGCCTCCTGGTGCAACTAACCAGATTCACCAACACATGCTTAACTGGCAACATAATATAGACAATAAAGCCGTTCCTTTTTGGAGCATCTCTCTGTTCTCAAAGGAAAAAGGATGGAGGATCAGACTAATAGCTGTGAGCAATTCCCTTCGGCGTCTGCACTCAACCTGTGGCTCCTAGTAGCTGTTTGCAGGCAACAGCGGCCACACCCTGGACAACTGCTTCAACTGGCGGGCAAAACAAGGTGAGGGTAGGCGAAGGTTTGAGACCTGCGGTGAACTTAGGTTTGACTACCTACGCATGCGAAGACTGGAGGACCCGGCGGACTGTGCGGAAAAAACTACCAGAATGTTTCAATGGGCAGGAAGGCGGACCAACAAGGCGTTGTGGAGCGCCACTAGGGCGTAGCGAGACATGTAAGATGCTGGTGGCCATCCACCGCATCCTAACCTGTCTCCTGCCATCTCCACTTGTCCAGGCCTATCTGGGTCCAGCGGTAGGACGAGTGTGTGAGGCTGACGATTTGTGCAATTCTCCCTCACTATAATGCAACTCCAGCGCGGGTCATAACTTCAACCCATACCGCACAACCTCACGTTCTGTGTCGATGAACGGGTGGTGAAGCAGCAGGTGAGGATACACTGGAAGCTGTATCTGGCAGAGGAGGCAGCAGCTGGTAGCCTGAGGCAGGGCCAGCCAAGGGTTGCTCTCAGGCAGCACATCAGGTCATGCGTTACCAAAACCTCTGGAAGATTCCACGCATCACTTGCCACTGTGTATGACGAGCTGTCATTGGTCCAGTATGTTAACTCATTCCTGATTGGATCAGATAAGAGTGCACTGCTTTAGCGTAATGTTGAACTTGGGAGCTTGCTCAAAAGACATGTTCACAGTAGCTCATCTTGGCCAAGTTTAGTTAGTGTTTACTAAGGGACTCATAGTTGTCATGTAACTTGAACTCGTTATTAAGTTGGTGTTCAAAGTCAGAAATGTGTAGCGTGTGATTAGAGATGTAAAGTGAGGGAGTGAACAGTTGAGACGTGTAAACACTGATACACCACGTGATGAGTCTACACGAGTAACACACTGAATCTTAACTCATCAGTGTCATTATACAGTACTATGAAGGTGGTCAGTGACATAAATACTATACACAGTATCGCTCAGTTTCACGGAGAGAGATTATCGAGTTATCTTGATTTGTAGTCAAGATACTGTGAAGTTTGAGACTTACATCTGTGGAGGTGTGGCCAGTGCTCAGGTGTGGCCAAGTGCTCAGGTGTGGCCAAGTGCTCAGGTGTGGCCAAGTGCTCAGGTGTGGCCAGTGCTCAGGTGTGGCCAAGTGCTCAGGTGTGGCCAGTGCTCAGGTGTGGCCAAGTGCTCAGGTGTGGCCAGTGCTCAGGTGTGGCCAAGTGCTCAGGTGTGGCCAAGTGCTCAGGTGTGGCCAGTGCTCAGATGTGGCCAGTGCTCAGGTGTGGCCAAGTGCTCAGGTGTGGCCAGTGCTCAGGTGTGGCCAAGTGCTCAGGTGTGGCCAAGTGCTCAGGTGTGGCCAGTGCTCAGGTGTGGCCAGTGCTCAGGTGTGGCCAAGTGCTCAGGTGTGGCCAAGTGCTCAGGTGTGGCCAGTGCTCAGGTGTGGCCAGTGCTCAGGTGTGGCCAAGTGCTCAGGTGTGGCCAGTGCTCAGGTGTGGCCAGTGCTCAGGTGTGGCCAAGTGCTCAGGTGTGGCCAGTGCTCAGGTGTGGCCAGTGCTCAGGTGTGGCCAAGTGCTCAGGTGTGGCCAAGTGCTCAGGTGTGGCCAAGTGCTCAGGTGTGGCCAAGTGCTCAGGTGTGGCCAAGTGCTCAGGTGTGGCCAGTGCTCAGGTGTGGCCAAGTGCTCAGGTGTGGCCAAGTGCTCAGGTGTGGCCAAGTGATCAGGTGTGGCCAAGTGCTCAGGTGTGGCCAAGTGCTCAGGTGTGGCCAAGTGCTCAGGTGTGGCCAAGTGCTCAGGTGTGGCCAAGTGCTCAGGTGTGGCCAAGTGCTCAGGTGTGGCCAAGTGCTCAGGTGTGGCACACCGCCATAGTGACAGTATTGGGCAGCGTCACTCATCATGTGAGTGAACACACCGCCATAGTGACAGTATTGGGCAGCGTCACTCATCATGTGAGTGGACACACCGCCATAGTGACAGTATTGGGCAGCGCCACTCATCTTGTGAGTGGACACACCGCCATAGTGACAGTACTGGGCAGCGTCACTCATCTTGTGAGTGGACACACCGCCATAGTGACAGTATTGGGCAGCGCCACTCATCCTGTGAGTGGACACACCGCCATAGTGACAGTATTGGGCAGCGCCACTCATCCTGTGAGTGGACACACCGCCATAGTGACAGTATTGGGCAGCGACACTCATCCTGTGAGTGGACACACCGCCATAGTGACAATATTGGGCAGCGCCACTCATCCTGTGAGTGGACACACCGCCATAGTGACAGTATTGGGCAGCACCACTCATCCTGTGAGTGAACACACCGCCATAGTGACAGTATTGGGCAGCGCCACTCATCCTGTGAGTGGACACACCGCCATAGTGACAGTATTGGGCAGCGCCACTCATCCTGTGAGTGGACACACCGCCATAGTGACAGTATTGGGCAGCGCCACTCATCCTGTGAGTGGACACACCGCCATAGTGACAGTATTGGGCAGCGTCACTCATCCTGTGAGTGGACACACCGCCAGCAGCATGTAAAACACTCCCCAATAGGAAGAAAACCCCAAGATTAAGCGTCGAGTTCAGTCTATCTTAGTCCATGCCGACACAGGCGAGGTCTAGGACGGACTAAGGGGACCACGGCACTAGTCAGACCATTAGCCCAGTGTGGCAAGGTCTAGGACACTCACTCAGGGGTTATGGGTTATCTTAACCCCCAGACACTCGTGGGGTCTAGTAACTGTAGGTCTGCCTGAGTTTATTAATACAGGGAAACGTTGGAATCTTAGTGACTTGTATGTGTTAGTCTTACTGATTATCTGTCGGTGGAGAGTTATTGACTGATAATTCGGTGGTCTTAGTGACCAGTGGTGGTAACACTATCATTTTCTTTGGGATTGTTGATTGGTTATGAGTGTTATTGTCCTTGAGACGTACAATCTCTATCATTAGTATGACTTGTACATGTGTGACGCAGTATAATCCAGAGATTATACTGAGCATAAACTTATATCATTGATTACTTTCGTGTAATTCCTGTGTTGAATAGTACGCGAGTGTACGATGCCCCTTGTCACTGCCAGTGTGACAAGCAGTTACTGTAACAGCCAATCACCAGCGATCAAGCACTCCCCGGCGTGCCAATAGGGCAGCCCAATTGTTCTGCCAACCAGCTCCGAGGGGAACATTTCCTGGTGAGTGATGCTACACCTGTTGACCCGAGCTAAAGTCACAACTTTCTTAACCTAACCAAACATTCTTGTGTATTAAGTTGATTAAATAAACCTATTTTTTTTTTTGTGATAACAGCTTTCAGTCATTGCCTTCCCCAAGTACTTGCTCCTGCAACATTATTATTCTATTATAATAATGTTATTCTACTATTCTATTCATTCCTTCTGAAGATGTATTAATATACGAAAGTACTTAAAAGGAAATTCTTGTTTCAATTCTTCCTCTGTGGTCTGACATTGTCATATTTTTCATCAAGTGTTAATTTTCGGGATTTACACACACATTTTATATATATATATATATATATATATATATATATATATATATATATATATATATATATATATATATATATATATATATATTATATATATATATATATATATATATATATATATATATATATATATATATAATTATATATGCGAACAAGCCTGAATGGTCCCCAGGCATATATGCAACTGAAAACTCACACCCCAGAAGTGACTCTAACCCATACTGCCAGGAGCACTCTGCAACTGGTGTACAGGAGCACTGGTGTACAGGACCCCTTAACCACTCGACCATCACGACCAGACAAAAGATGATGGTAACCATGGCTAATCATTTATTGTGACAGACATACATATATATACATATTATATATATATTATATATATATATATATATATATATATATATATATATATATATATATATATATATATATATATATATATAAAGAAAGTAGGCGTTACCTGGTCTCCCAAGCCATGTAGACGCCGACAGCCACCAGGAGGCCCTTGTAGACGTAGAGGGCGCCCAACCACCCGCTGGTGTGGACGCTGCGACACACCTCCACCTGCAGGGACACACGTGTGTTATCAGGCAGGTGTGTCTAGCTCTCAGGTGTGACTAGCTCTCAGGTGATGTGGCGGGTGATAGTACTGTGGCGATGTGGAGGAGGATATTGGATGATTGGAGAGATTAGAGGCAGTGATTGGATGGTAATAACGGGGTGACGATGATGGGGCAGTGATGGTGTGGGAAATAATTATCGCTGTGGGAACAAATACTAAATACTGTATTTAATTACTATAGCAAATAAACTCTTTATGAGAAGCAAATTGTCTGTGTCTAAATGATTAACACATAAATGGTAACTGTGTATCGAGCCACCGAGGCCACGCCCCCTTCTTCACTACGTCACCTACCATTATAGTCAAGTCAACAGTCAACCTCACTTTCAGACAAGTTTAAAATTACATTTTGACCGAAATAACATTAGTTGGTTAAATAAATACTTTGTGCAAATGTTGACAGCTTGTATTATCAAATAATAAAGTTCTGGTGTCACTAATAATCACTAATCATAATAGACTCTCGGTTGAGAGGGAAGGCGCCGAAGAATGGGATGGTTGGGTGAGGTTAAAATCAAATATATCAAGATGTCCATAAGAATTAAATCGAATCTTAACTGTCAGGGAGAAACTGTTATTATTATTTATAATTATAGGTAGAATGTTGTAAATCTAATAATAAATCTGGCGGCAGGAGGAGTTTGTCAAATCGGGTCACGGAGCGAGGAGGACGCAGGAGCGGCCATGTTGGGGCTCCATGTGCGCGGGCGGGCCGACGCTACCCGCCACCTAAGACCTTAATTTTCAGAAACTAATAACCTTGATTTATACTGCCTAGTTGTTACTGATAAATTACATAATCTTAATATGCCAATATACTAAATCCCATTATTTATCAATATACTGAGCAGTCTAGTTACTAATTATTAAGTAAATAAAATTAAACTAACTCTCATTATTACATATGGTACCTTACTAGTTTAAAGCAATACACAGTTCACTACTCATCACAATTAAAATTTTCATTTTCTAATAAGATAATTTTTGACCTTATGGAACGCATATGAGCAAAAAGCGACGTTCTTTGTAGGAGAAAAGGTTGCTACTGACTAATTACTATTTCACCAGTAACACTTGTGACTAGAGCTCCCTTCAAGGAAGACGATGGGTTAACTTGAGGATATCTTGAAGTGATTTCGGAGCTTAGCGTCTCTGCGGCCCAGTCCTCGACCAGGCCTCCCTTTTGTTACACATCCCCAGGAAGCAACCCGGTCGCCGGGTGCCGGTCGGCCGAGCGGACAGCACACTGGACTTGTGATCCTGTGCTCCCGGGTTCGATCCCGGGCGCCAGCGAGAAACAATGGGCAGAGTTTCTTTCACCCTATGCCCCTGTTACCTAGCAGTAAAATAGGTACCCGGGTGTTAGTCAGCTGTCACGGGCTGCTACCTGGGGGTGGAGGCCTGGTCGAGGACCGGGCCGCGGGGACACTAAAGCCCCGAAATCATCTCAAGATAACCCGTTGCAGATGTCTAACTCCCAGGTGCCTATTTACTGTTAGGTGAACAAGGACATCAGGATGAAAAACTCTGTCCATTTGATTCCACCTCTGCCGGAGATCGAACCCAGAACCTTAGGACTACGAATCCCGAGTGCTGTCGACTCAGCCGTCATGCCCTTAACGGGGGTACGTGGACTAAGACAGACAGGCGTCACAAGTGTTGACACAGGCATCACCATACTGCTCCATGTGCCTAGGAGTAACAAGTTCCTCAGTCACGTAAAGCTAAATCAAAATCCTGTGCAGCAGTGAAGTACTGCACACTAGCAGGCAGTGTACGAGCCTTGTCAGCTCACACCAACACAACCGCGACTCTGCCCACAACCATGTTGACTGTACACCATAGCAGAAAAAAGCTCCAGATCAAAGCGCTGTTATCGATGAAGGGACCTCAAAAAAACTTTTTTGTAACCCGAAGGGTAGCAACTGAACTATAATTAAAGCTGGCAGTGCAGCTCAACCTTAATATCCCCGGGTTCTCAACCAGTAGTAAAACTCGCACTTACGATGTAGCTAAACCATACGTTCGTTACTGTCATGGAATTATTCCATCAGACCTTTATATACCTGATCTTGGAGCCACAAGCAAACACTTCAAGGCTCAAAGGGTCAAATTAGTTGACCACGGTGACGGTGTCCCACCCCAATATCTCTCCCGTCCCAGCTTCAAGAGTCACATCTCTGCAACCTGAACGTTCTCTGATCAGGGAACATTTTGATATATATGAGGGTATGAAACGTTATTGTGTTGGCAATGAATTTGTCGTTTTAGTTTGGTTATACAAATGGCTTATGCTCTTTTGAGCTACAAAATGGCACCGAGGCACTCCGCTTCCCGCCAAAGGAGCGTGACGCCTGCCGGCTGTTGATTGGCCAGGTAGGGTCACGTGACATCATGGACCAATGGGGAGGAGCCCTTAAGGTGGTGTGACGTCACGAGGTGGAGGGCTCCCTGCAGGCTCAGTCCGGGGGGGGGGTGTCCCTGCGGGCTCAGTACGTCACAGCCCGTCATGGAGAGTGGCCATGCTTGAGTGAGCTCCCAATTTAGAGACTAGGAAGCCCCAACCAGTGGACCCAAGCAGCTGCATTGATTCTGCAGACATCGTGGGAGGTCATCTGACTCCTGTAGAGGACATGGGAGCAAGGCTTGACTGGTGTTAGAGCGCCAAGAGCTCTTTTACTGAGTCTGTGGCAGAGACGAACATTGGGCTGGGACGTCTGGGACGCCTAGCGCGTCACGTTCAAACGCGTCAGGCGAACTGCTGTGCCTGGGGTCAAGTCCACTGGCAGACCGAGGAGGGGACACTAAACCAGATTGTAAGTTGTCTACAGTGCCAGTGTGGGAGGAAGAAGGCGACGTGCTCAGGGACGTGTCTCCAGTACCTCGAGAGGAAGAGGAGGAAGACCTGCCTGCAGAGGTGAGAATGGAGAGGACCTGCTTCTACAAGTTGACTGAGGACCTTGTGTGTACAGGACTCTGATCAACGGAGGACCAAACGCCAGGACCGGGGACCTCAGCAACCCTTGCCAGAGGATAGGTCGGCTTCATAGCAGAAAGAATTAAGGTAGATAAATTTCCCACCCCATTACCCGTTGATCTAGGTGAGCTAGGATATCTTTCATATCGTGAACATTGTCTTTATTATTACTACCAATGTGGTAGAGTGTTAGGCTAGGAGCCAGGTTACTCATGTAGGCATGAGTTGATGTATAAATATATATGTGGGTGCAGTGAATTTTGGGCAGCTGGAGGAAGTAGCTGGGTTCAAGAAAGTCAGGACCGAGCTCTTGAATCGTCCAGCTGACAGTGTTGCCGCCGGCTGACAGTTCTACATATATTAACCACTATGCCGATCCAGTGTAGTTTCCTTCAGTAAACTTATTGATTTTAACATTGTGTTTGAGTGAACCTCCCATCTCTAGGGCTATTTGAGTAAACCATTTATGTTGCAGTGCATTGCATCCGAGATTGCATCCTTGGGCTGCGCTAACGAGTAAAACCACCGAGTAGTGTTGCTGGGACACGAATATGAACACCCAGCTGGCGACCTTGGACGAAGAGGTGAGGATTTTACCTGTATATCTTCCCAGTGTCACGGCGGGCAAATCCAACTGAGAGTAATAGAGGTAAGGCTGGATTTCCCCACTCGTCACGGGTGCTGCTGAAGGCCAGCCTTTGATAGAATGGAGGGGCCCCAGGGCGAGCAGTGGCGCCGAGTACGCGTAGCGTTTCGGGCAAGTCCTTAATCCTATGGTCCCTGGAATACGATCCCCTGCCGCGAAGAATCGTTTTTTCATCCAAGTACACATTTTACTGTTTCGTTAAACAGAGGCTACAGTTAAGGAATTGCGCCCAGTAAATCCTCCCCGGCCAGGATACGAACCCATGACATAGCGCTCGCGGAACGCCAGGCGAGTGTCTTACCACTACACCACGGAGACTATATAAGGAAGACTAAAGGGGGGCAAAACGGAGACACCACCCAAATCAACTCTGACCATCAAAGACATAGGAGTGTTGATAAGATCAGACTGCTATGATAAATGTATTCACCTCAAGGAAACTTGAGTTACAAGGGATGAAAGTTGTGAACTGTGCAGGGGTGGTAAGTTACTGACTGGGCTTGTAACTTACTAATCAGACCCTACAGAGGATGTACAAGCTGAGACTGTCATAGTTGCAAGGCAGGACATGGAACAGTCTTCCATGGAAACTACTCCAAGAGGAGAGAAGGGAGTGGGACCTGACCATAAACTCGGGGACTTCGACACTCTTGGTACCGTACTGGAACAAAATAACCCAGATAATACAACAGCCTATCACAATTATCAGGACTCACTGGTCTACAAAGAGGATTAATTCTGGGTTAGACTACAGTAGCAATTTAGTTTTTTATTTATTTATTTATTTATTTATATATACAAAAGTTGTTACATTCATGTACAGCCACTAGCACCCATAGCTAGGGCAAGTCCTTAATCCTAATTTTCCCCTGAATACGACATTTCCATCACTACCATTATATTAAACACCTGCAACTTGAAAATAATTTTATAGGAGTGGTTAAGTAGAGGAACTCTAAGCAAGGACACTATTTACTGCATCATGCGGCATTAAACTCCTCTACAACAGCGTAACTGAAAATCGTGTTTAACTGCAGTGCAAAAACTAATCCACAGAACATTTCACTAAATGACTGCCTGCAGACCGAGCCAAGCCTAACAAGAGGCTGCATGATGTGTTGTTAAAGCTTCGTTTAGGGACATGTATGCCTATGTAAATACTGCCGACATAAGTAAAGCATTCCTTAGTGAATGCTTTCGTTGTAGAGGTGGTAGTAGACTACCACTGTCACCACTGGTGGTGGTGACAGTGGTAGCAGAGGTGGTGGGGGTGGTGGCAGTAGAGCTGGGGGTGGTGGTAGTGGAGCTGGGGGTGGTGG